TCAATCGAACAATATGTACGTTGATTTATATTTTGATAATTACGAGGTCAATATCTTCTATGTCAACATATGGAAATGAGGGAGACATCAGAATTTGTATACAAAGCACTACATGTACATGTATTAACATGCTTTCTAATAGCTAACACATTCAAAGTGCGTACCAACATTACAGAAGTAGACATTATGATCACAGCACAAGGCCAGTAGGTTTTTCACATATTCTCTAATATTACCCTATATTCTCCTATATATTTGGTGCGGTCCCTATGGCATGTTTTACGTCGCCAGGACATTACGTCATCTTATTGCCTCTTAACGACCCACCTAACAAAAACAGTGCACGTGCAAACTTGTGAACTGCATGTTTTTTACGTAACATGCTGTACGGCAGTGCACGCGCAAGCAAGGACAGGTGTACCTAATACACTACAGTGATCAGTACTCATACACCACAGGGGTTTGTTAACAGTATTTACACCACAGAAGTTTGTTGATGGTACAGCACAGTGGTTTGTTAACAGTACATACACCACAGGGGCTTGCTGATAGTACATTCACCACAGGGGCTTGTTGATAGCACAAACACCACAGAGACTTGTTGATAGTACATACACCACATGGGCTTATTGATAGTACATACACCACATGGGCCTGTTGTCAGTACATACACCACAGAGGCTTATTGATAGTACATACACCACAGGGCTTGTTGACAGTACATACACCACATGGGCTTATTGATAGTACATACACCACATGGGCTTATTGATAGTACATACACCACAGGGGTTTGTTGTCAGTACATACACCGCATGGGCTTGTTGTCAGTGCATACACCACATGGGCTTATTGACAGTACATACACCACATGGGCTTATTGATAGTACATCACCTCAGGGGCTTGTTGATAGGACATACACCACAGGAGCTTATTGATAGTACATACACCACAGGGACTTATTGATAGTACATACACCACATGGGCTTATTGATAGTACATACACCACATGGGCTTATTGATAGTACATACACCACATGTGCTTATTGATAGTACATACACCACAGGGGCTTATTGATAGTACATACACCACAGGAGCTTGTTGATAGTACATACACCACATGGGCTTGTTGTCAGTACATACACCACAGGGGCTTATTGATAGTACATACACCATAGGGACTTATTGACAGTACATACACCACATGGGTTTGTTGTCAGTACATACACCGCATGGGCTTGTTGTCAGTACATACACCACCGGGGCTTGTTGACAGTACATACACCACATGGGCTTATTGACAGTACATACACCACAAGGACTTATTGACAGTACATTCACCAAATCGGCTTATTGATAGTACATACACCACAAGGGACTTGTTGATAGTACATACACCATAGGGGCTTATTGATAGTACATACACCACAGGGGCTTGTTGATAGTACATACACCACATGGGCTTATTGATAGTACATACACCACAGGGATTTGTTGATAGTACATATACATACACCACAGGGGGTATTTGATACATGTAATACATATACACCACAGGGGCGTGTACATGTTACACTATATATATGTACTCAATTAGATAACACGCTATTTCTTTAAAGCAGGTATCGGTTGGATCACATGAACGTCGTGATTTGTGATATTGACTCGGTACGACTATTTAAGAAACAGCAGGCTAATATCTCTTGAAACGTCACAATAAAATTAAACATTTCACTCAAATCACTTATACAGGTTTCTGTGAATATGTGAGTATGTTAACATGTTAACAGTTATATCAACCGATGTTTCGTTTTGGTTAATATCAATTTCTTCCATCTTTATATAACTACATATCCACCTCAATAAAATTCAATATTCAGGGTAATAAACCAGATCACACAGCGTTACTATACTGGGATTAGTGACAACATTAGGTCTGCACTATCTTTAGTTTAGTTTAGTATTGTTTAACGTCCTATCAACAGCTATGGTCATTTAAGGACGGTCTCCCCTGTGTGCAAGATGCAAGCGTGTAGTGTAGTGTATGCGTGTGTGTTTTGGGAGGCAGCGATATGTTCGTGTTTGTCTCCTTGTGATAGCGCGGAACTGATGCCGACTTCATAGTGCTACCTCACTGAAACATACTGCCGAAGACACCCAACAGGACACTCCACCCGGTCACATTATACTGACAACGGGCGAACCAGTCGTCCCACTCCTAAATTGTTGAGCGTTAAGCAGGAGTAGAAACTACCATTTTCACTATCTATGCAAAACTTCTCTTAAACAAATAAAACAAAACATTTCGGTATCACAGGGATTGGTTACATACGAACGGGCGTCATAATATCAGAATATGAATTCAGTACTAATTTATATAGACTGTCACCGTTTATTGGGACAAATCCCTGTGGTCAGTATCCCTTTGCCTCTCATACCAGCCTCTTTCTCAACTGACCTCTTATATGTTTAGATACTTAATTAACAAGAATCATATAGACATCTGAAATATGTTTTTGTAATTATTTCGATTCAAAAGAATTGAGATCTGATTTGAAGCCAAGATATTTTTAAGAATATTTACAAAATCCTGTTTTGATATACTTGTTTTAAATAAGTTAAATTTGATAAAACATCGATAGGAAATACATGAAACCCTATATTCAGTAGATCATAAACATTGTAATGTATTTCTCCATTAAGGTTTGTATAGATTAGAATAACACAACTAATTTGCCCTCTTTTGTTTCACATTTAGGCTATGCTGCGAATCAAATATTTGAACCACACATGCATTAAAATCGCTAGTACTCCTGACCAAGTTTATTTTAACATAAGACCCATAATATGATACTTGAATGGTTTATTTTACAACCGGCTATGATTTGTCTGGGACAATCCTACTTTATATCTTTGAAAAATCTGTACACATATCGGCTACAAACCGGATTTGGTCGGCAAAAATCCGTACTTGTATCGGTGAAAATCAATTTCAGCCGTACACCAGTTACATGTTGGTGTTTAGCGACCCACGACAAATGGCGGGGAGATCGAGATAGAACACCGACGGGCAATCAAGCTTGATCGTAATGATATAGCTGGAGATTTAAATACTGACAATGCTCTATGGCGGCGGGAGGTGGCACTCACCCCTGTATATAATAACAAGGAAGGTACATATGTACCTGAACAATCAAGTTTCAAGTTACCGTGTTTTTTTGGTTTAGACACTCAACAATTTTTATTTCTCAAACAAATGCTTGTAGCAAAATCACATCAGATTTAAAACAATAAACTCTTCTGACGTGAGTAGTTTTAAATATTAGAACATGTATATTTAAGATAATATTTTTTTTAATAAAACCAAAAAAATCTTAATTTTTTAATTATTTTTCAAAATTCATTCAGTTCAGTCAATTAATTCGTCTGGCGTGAATAGTTTTGAATGTTAGAACGTTTTATTCATTTAATCAATCATTCCACCCCAATTCGTTTTATTCATTCAATCAATCATTCCCCTCCATTTCGTTTTATTAATTCATTCCACTCCTTTTTGTTTCTTTCATGTATTCATTCATTAATTAACTAATTAATTTATTTATTCAAACCTATTTCGTTCAATTCATTAATTGATTAATTCATTTTTAATCACATATTTATCATACGTGTATATTAAGTATTACAATGTCGAGACATCTGTCAGGTGTACTCCCCGATCAGCCAGCTAAATGCATCATATTCACCATCATCCTCGATATCCAGGGGTTACGCTCACTTTCGCTCTCTGCACCCCTGGAATAGATCATAGCAAAATTGAAGGCTCTGTGTGCCCCACCTTGTTGATGAGACAAGCAGACTAGTTCGATCCTTTGATGTACATCAAGAATCTCGCGGTCGCGTAACGGTAAAATTTGACTGACTTTGAAGTCGGTTGTCGCTCCTTTGTAATTTTCTAAGGACAGGTATCAGCCTAGCGATTGGTCAGTTCTTTTTACCTGAGACCAATCAAACAGCTATCTTTGTGCCTCTAATTTGCTATGACATATTCCAGGCCCCTAGAGTATCGAGGATGATTCACTACTGGCACTGTTGTATATATACCTAACTATGTATTATTGTAATGCGCGTTACATACAAACTCTGGTTGGCTGTACAAACGCATGGCACTTATATCGGCCTTTAAAGCCATATCATGCATATCTTTGTAATGCTTTTTGCTTTTCATCATAGAAAAGAAAAGAAAATTATCGAGGTATTTATAACGAGACACGGTGTATAGTCTAGTGGTACATATGTAGGACGCCGGGCTCTTGACCGAAGGGTTGCGGGTTCGAGTCACGTCACGGTACTGTGTTGTATCTTTGAGCAAGGTACTTTACTCCGCTTGTTCCAGTCTGCTCAGCTGTAAATGAGTACGTGGTTGGGTAGTGATATAACTGTTGAATGCTAGCTGTGAGCGCCGAAATGGCAGCACCGTCTGTATTCTTCCCTGGGTGTTGAGAAAGATATTGGCTGGTTGGAAAGGCCCTATAATTTTAACCGCTTTGGGAAGACCTCCACATAGCGGTAAATAAGAACATAAATTATTCATATTAGTGTACAGAAACGCGTGACGTAATATTGAGGTTTTCCTATATATAAACTAATGGTCAGTATATCGATGTTTTCCTATATATAAACTAATGGGTATTAAATAGAGGTTATATAAACGAAATGCATCATTTCGGGATTTTCTGTGTTTAAATGTTGCTCAGTTTGGAAAAGCTTTACTATTTAAACGAAGGTCAGTATATCGAGGTTGTATTGTATATAAACGATAGGCATTATAACGAGTTTGTGTTGTATACATGTAACTTTTTCTCGGAACGTTGCAGAAGGTATAACAGTCGCAAAGACGATGTTACAGCTGGAGGTTTGGCTAAATTGGAATTGGCTTATCGAGTTGAGAAAAAATCACTTTCAGCAATCATTGATATTTTGCTATTGTTTTCCTCATAGATGTGCTAAACAAGCTTAAGGGTGTACCGGAAATGTGTTTGTCCGGACCTGTAATTGACGTCATCACACGGAATTATGGGAAAATCCAAGGACACATGACCATGGCAATGTCCGAAGATGGAAGGTAAGTTTAATCAAAGGAACATTCTGCTGATGTGTTTTGTCTGTTGCCTTTGTCTCATGGTTTTGTAAATTAGTCCAATCCAACCGAAATGTCACAACAAATATATCTACTACAAACGAATCAGTTTTGTGGTGATGTCGAAAAAAAAATGGAATACCGGAATTCAATTGTGCAGTTGCCATTTGCATCTAATAGGTTTAAACTTGATATTAAATATGCTCCATACCGGATAATTTTGGAAGCATCTATACAAATACAATTAGACAATAATGTTGTCGGAGTTTAAGGGTGCACACTACCTGACACGTTATTCCATTTTAAGAGATTTCCGCGTGAAGGAGCGCACTAGGGTACCTGTCAAATATCTATTACAAAGGACACTTAATTTGAAAAAATACACAGGAATACTCTCATTGAGAAATAACCAGAGTCTTCTGAATTAGTAATACGTCATAATTATAAAAATAAATGAAGGGAGACAACTTTACTACAAATCGCATGTTTCACAGAGGAAAAAAAACAAGGGAGATTACTCCAACATAAATCACAGATAAAGTGTGTAATGTATCTACGGACAACCGAAATACCAAAATATATGAAATCTGATTTCAAGACAGTTTCTTAAATCAAATCAAGAATATATGAACACGTCAGCCATTAAAAAAAGAATAAATGATGACGTTTATCTTTTAGTCACGTGACGGTGAGGATGTATCCCACAGGCCTAGTGACGGTAGACGTGCAACGACTGATGGAGGGCGACTCAACACCAAACACTGCAGAAATAGCTGTGAGTATTTTGTCTCCACGGAGATATAGCTGTGAGTATTTTGTCTCCACGGAGATATAGCTGTGAGTATTTTGTCTTCATGGCAGTATAGCTGTGAGTATTTTGTCTTCATGGCGGTATAGCGGTGAGTATTTTGTCTCCAGGGCGATATAGCCATGAACATTTTGTCTCCATGGAGATATAGCTGTGAGTATTTTGTCTCCACGGATATATAGCTGTGAGTATTTTGTCTCCACGGAGATATAGCTGTGAGTATTTTGTCTCCACGGAGATATAGCTGTGAGTATTTTGTCTCCACGGAGATATAGTCGTGAATATTTTGTCTCCACTGAGATAAAGCGGTGAGTATTTTGTCTCCACGGATATATAGCCGCCAGTATTTTGTCTCCACGGATATATAGCTTTGAGTATTTTGTCTCCACTGAGATATAGCGGTGAGTATTTTGTCTCCACCGAGATATAGCCGCGAGTATTTTGTCTCCAAGGAGATATAGTCTTGAGTAATTTATCATCACGGAGATTTACCTGTGAGTATTTTGTCTCCACGGATATATAGCTGTGAGTATTTTGTCTCCACGGAGATATAGCAGTGAATATTTTGTCTCCACGGAGATATAGTCGTGAATATTTTGTCTCCACTGAGATATAGCGGTGAGTATTTTGTCTCCACCGAGATATAGCCGCGAGTATTTTGTCTCCACGGAGATATAGTCTTGAGTAATTTATCATCACGGAGATTTACCTGTGAGTATTTTTGTCTCCACAGAGATATATCGATGAGTATTTTGTCTCCACGAAGATATAGCGGTGAGTATTGTGTCTCCACGGAGATATATCTGTTAGTATTTTTGTCTCCACGGAGATATAGCAGTGAGTATGTTGTCTCCACGGAGATATAGCAGTGCGTATTTTGTCTCCACCGAGATATAACGGTGATTATTTTGTCTCCACGGATATATAGCGGTGAGTATTGCGTCTCCACGGATATATAGCTGTGAGTATTTTGTCTCAACGGAGTTATAGATGTGAGTATTTTGTCTCCTTGGAGATATAGAGGTGAGTATTTATAACCTTTGTATTGTTTGTATGCATGGTCATAATGATTGTTTTCCATGGAGATATTACGGTAAGTATTGAATTTATATTGCTATATACACTGCATGGTCATAGGTATTATGATTTCAAGGGAATATAACCTTTATATTATGTTCCCATGGAGATTTAGTCGTAAGCGTTTCGTTTTCGTGGTGCAATAGTCAGAAATATTGCGTTTCCATGGAGATGCAGTCATAGATATATTTTCTTTTAATTGATATACAGATTAAGGTATTCTGTTTCCATAAAAATACAGGCACCGGTATCGTATTTCTACCGACACATAGTCATATATATATTGTTTCGCTGGAAATACAGGATTGCTTATTATGTTTCCATCAGAATGTAGTCATAGGTTTTTTGTTTCCATGGAGATATAAATGCAGTCATTAAAATTTTGTGACAATATGGAGATAATGTCGTGGATAGTTTTTTTTCTTTTGAGATATGATACACGGTAAACGCATTGTTTGCATAACTCTTTTAAATTTCGTTGCAACGATTCATTCTTCTTGTTTTTAAACCCATTTTTAAGGTGGTGAAGAATTTAGAGGTCAAACTAAGGAAATATTTCGGGACCCAATGCAAGTTTAGTCGCAGGTAAGACACAGCGTTAATGTAAATTGTTACCTGACTCTCTATATGAAAAGTAACAAAACAAGTTTGACTATAGTCATAGTGAAAAAAGCGTAATTTATATACAACCATGAATAAGTCAAAACTATTTTCATGGAAAGCTCTGGAACTAACACACGTTTCCTTCGCAACGAACGCGCCCAAGCATTATTTGATTAAAGCGCTTTGCAGACACTGATGTCGTTTGTTTACGAGCAGACGTTTTCGAAGATGGTTGAAAATGTGTTGTGTTGCATTTTGCCATGTGTATACAAATGTAGTCCATACAGATAATTGCCAGTAACAAAACAGTTAACTAATGCCCTACGGCTTTGGAAAATAGTTCACCAGGTTGATTATTTCGAATCGATTCTCCTCGCGAAAAGAAACACCGCAAAGAATATACTGTTTTACCGGAACATTTAGAATCGGAACAGTTATTAAGTTTAAAATGTTGTCAATAGGTAAAAAAGTTACCACCAAAGTATTTCATACCATCAAAAACCAATACTGTTGTATTATAGGGAAACATTGTCAGAAGACAAAACTATGGCCTCTGAATTATCTTCATATTTTGATCCACTAGCTAACGAATTGTAATAATAAGGCATCTGGTCGCCTACAATCGCTAACCCTCCACCATTGGGTCGTTGGTTTAAGTCCTTCATATACGTTGGGAAGTCGCCATTGACCTTCCGCAGGTCAGTGGTGTTTCTCCGGGTACTCCGGTGTTCCTCCATAACCAATACATGGCTCGTCCTTAAATAACCATAGCTGTTCATAGGATGTAAAGCACAAATAAATCAAATTAAACTGCTGAATAGAATGCAGACATCTTGATGAAAATTTTCGTTTTTAAAATGAATACCGCTCCCCTATATCTAAAATCGATATTTAAAGAGATAAATAAAACTGGATTTTTGTTATTTCCGACATTTACTTCTATGGAGTAGGCTATGTTATATCGTGTATATGAAAATCAATACATAAATTCCAGTTGGAGACTTTTTCATACACATGTCTATTTGCCTCCGTGTTTTGGGAACGATCGGTTTTATATCCGCGGCAACCCTAACATTGTTAAAAATCAAAACTAATGAATTTTCAAATATGGAAATAATTCTTAAATCATTTTTTTTTTTTTTTATATATTAATTTGAAATATTTCTGATTTTTTTTCTTAGATTATAAACACTACCGTGCTAATCATAGCATGCACTTACTTGCTTACAACCATAAGTATTCAAAATATGTATTTTAATTCTTAAATTCAATAACAAAAAGTATCTACTCTATCCACAGTCGTAACACAATAGTGGACAGTGTATAGATGTCATTTTCCAGAAACTGCTATTTCTCAATCCAGACATTTACCGATCTTTGAGTTACAATATATTGCTTATGAACATACAAGAACATGTATTACTGTCAACAATATTTGCGGATGTTATAAAATATAGAATTCAATTTTTAGAAACGGTTTTCAGCCGAAAATTACATTGATTTATTAGATATTTTGGAACAGTTTTCAATATTTCAAAGTCGGCAAGTCAATTGAGCACGTAATAGGTTTTACAAAACAGAACAGTTCTATTCGCGGTGAATGCATTCAATACTTCACGAGTTCCTTTGCCGCGAACTGATGGCGTCATCGTTTGGTGTCGTATGACGTCACATTGGATGATGCACGTCATCAAACTCTATATAACTGCTAAGAGCACGCAATCAATTTGATTTGTGCTAAATCTTAACTCACATAACGAATGTTTGTAAATCGGAATTTGGCTGTTTTTTAAGGGATCGAAGTCCAATTTCATAATAGAAAATATTTGACCTCGTTAAATTAGATGTTTATGAAATTGATTGCTGTTCTGTTGGAGTTTATGGGGTGTAAACCTCAAATGGCCTTGCGACAGATTTAATTGGTATGAACTGATTTTGCAGTTTATTGAGTTTGTCTCAAGCCCTGTGTCGGTTAATACCCTATAAACATTAACACAATTGAATTCAATCCTTACGCTTACATTCAGTGCAATTTTGAAAATTGTCTGTTAATTTCTAAATAGTCTAATACCACAGAAGGTGTCGACGCATGTGACGTCATCACTCACTATATGACGTCATCTTGGTAAGATGAATAGCTCTTTTGAACTGATTACAACGTTTGAACATTATATAATGGATATATATGTTTATTTCAATTCAAAAATTCTGTAAAACCGATGGAAAACAGTTTATAAATAGGACTACTTCCCGCACTTATTTACTGACGTATTCATACGCCAAGTAGAAAGGGTATAGGACAATAAATCTCATACTCTTAAGTAGGTATAGTGAGTCCAAATTCAGTGGAAATATTTGAAGTTGGTCTCAATTTAATTTTGGAAATAATTTCTGTAGCATACATTTTGTCTGAACTAATTATACGTTTGGTCATTTTTAGTATACTGGGTCAGATCTGCCGAGGCGAGGTGTGTCCATATTTCTCGTCGGGAGAGGACCTTCTGTTCGAGTACGGCCCCTTGAAACTGGTGTGTGAGAAGGAATCAAAGTGGCAAAACATCAAAATCTACCATTCTGAAAAATTCGGGCATATGCTCTGCCTGGACGATGATCTGAGTAGGTACCTAGTAGGCTAGGACGTCCTGTAATTTGTTTTTGGGACGTCAATATTTGTCATAAAACAGAATTTGTCATACAACAAAATTTGAAAGATACTAACATACCAAATTCAAGAAATGTTTGCTAACTTTTCCAAAAAATAATCAGTTGCTAATTATGGCGCGTGGTTCCATTAATAGAACGTGAAATACTATCAGGGTCACGTGGTATTTTAAGGGTTGAGTGAGGAGCACTTTTTTAAAAAGGGGAACCCGAGGGAAAAGGCAGGATTTTATAAAAAAAGATAAAAAATAAAATGAATTGAAATAAAGATGAAAATCAACCATTGTGGTATATTTTCATTTCCACTAAAAGTTCCTCGATCAGCGTCCTTTTGAAGCTTCTTCTCTCGCCTCGATTAGCATGAGGCAACCGTTAGACTCAAACATTTTGGTGACGTTAGGCTGTTCAAAGAATCTTGTTTGCGCTGAGCACAGGGACACTTCGATATCAAATATATAAGGGAATAATTAAATTAAGGTCATAAATAACTTAATATTCAGAATGTAAATACAAGGACTAAACATATCTTTTACATTGTTTATGTCGGTATCAAATTGTCGTTCAGTCGTTATATATGAATGTAAAAATGCAACGGTGTCAAACAAGGATTAGAACCGTTTAGTTTCTATCATACTATGGCTCTAAGCAACTTTCCAATATTTACCTAGTTAACGAATTCCAGGGAGGTAACTGAGTGTATGAAAAACTACGATTTAATTCTTAAGGCAGTGCTTATATATTTATAACGTAACCAGGTGTAGACTTACAATATAAATATACAAAACAACGAAGATTTTGAACATTCATGAAGGAAGTGACAAAGAAAGAGGAAAAATAACTCTAAAATGACGGTGATTGCGGGCCGCATTCCGTTCTGTAGTTTAATAAGACCCGGGCCCGTATTTATGAAACCGTTCACATGCTTTAGCATGGGTTTTGTGCTCAAGCGTTATGTCTTATCCGGTTATCTATTAATAGAAGAATATAGTTTTGTCAATGATTTGGAAATAGATTGAAGAGCCTTATACTGTTTTCAATGTTTACGTTTGAACTGAGTTACAAGAGCGCTTGTTAGAGCACAGGGTCAATGCTTGAGTATGAACACGGTTTCATGAGTACGGGTCCTGTTTTGTTTCTAGCGCTGTTAAACCATGTATTGATATTATTGTTCCGTTGGGGCTGTGGTGATCAAATTCACCCTACGTCAATATGTAGCAACAAAACCGACGCGTACTCATGAATACAACTACGTTTCCGGTTTTCCCGACGGACATATATACGAGTCAATAAGCTATGTAGTAAGCATCTATCCTAACATGCCTAGTGGTATGAGAATATAAAATATTTATACAGCTTCCGTTGGTCAGTGTTTAAACGGGAAATCTAACCGTCATTGTCGATACACGTGCGAGGCGACGTGAGTCTCTGATACCAGCTGCCAGCCGCTTGACCTTACAAAATTGAACTTTTATTTTGTTATCAATGACTATCCTCGCGGCTGTCGTATGATGTTGAGGTACTGTCTAACTTGTCCACCACACCAGATCTGTTCTTGGTTTTCGTTTCGCTGCTCTCCGCCAGGGCTGCGCTTCGATGTATACGGAACGCAGCCCTGGCGGAGAGAAGCGAAACGAAAACGAAAAAGGCGGAGAATCGGTCTAATACCAGCTAAATGTTTTCATTCTACACATGTGTGTTCAAGATCTTCCTATCAATGTTAGGTTTTATAAAGGAAGGTTTCCTGTTTCCCCCCTCCCTCCCCTGTACTGTTCATCATAAGTAAAATCCATTCCTTGCTGTAAAACACAATGATTCCTGTCCCACTCTAGAAAAAACACCAGAAGAGATGTCCACTGTTACTTAGCGTACGAAGAGTAACCTCCCCTTAAATTTGTCTTTGGAGATACTACAGTTGTCCTGGTAGTCAAGTTGGTAAGACAGACAGTTTATATTGATCAGATATCCAGGGCCCTCCTTCATGAAGCCCATCCTCGATATCCAGGTGTTACGATCACTTTCGCTCTCTACACCCCTGGAATATGTTATATAGCAAAATTGAAGGCACGAATATACAATGCAGTTGTTTGATTGGTTTCAGGTAAAAAAATAACTGACCAATCGTTAGGCTGATACATGTACCTGCCCTTTGAAGATTTCAAAGGAGAGACGCCCGACTTCAAAGCCTTTTTAACTTTTCCGATACGCCACCGCGAGATTCTTTTGTATATATCAAAGGATTTAACTAGTCTCCTTGTCTCATCATCAAGGTGGCGCACACCGAGCCTTCCATATTGCCATGACACATTCCAGAGGTATAGAGAGCGAAAGTGAGCGTAACCCCTGGATATCAAGGATGGAAGCCGTTCTCATGTTCAAACTCAAATTCTGTGTTCAAACCCAATTTCTTGTTTCGGTGATTAATTAATAAAAAAATAGATAAAAAATTGTCAACATTTTTGGAAGAATTTGGGTGACACTTCAAGCTGCATTCTATTTGAAATGTTTGGCCTTGACTATCTGACCGTGTCACATGGCTATCTGACTGTGTCACGTGACTATCTGACTGTGTTACATGACTCTCTGACTTTGTCAAATGATTTAAGCAAGTTACAAGAATGATTTGAATCTTTGCTTGAGCAGGAGAACGGCTATTTCTGAAACCGTTCTCGTGCTCAGGCGCGGATTCTGTGCTCAGAATCACTTTCTAGTTACTCGCTTAAACATTGTTTCATGGTCATAAGTCAACACACTGTATGTATTCCAATTGAAGTTATCTCTGAATTCTTCTAAATCATGCAAACGTTGAAAATGATATTGATTTTTGACCGGAACGAGAGATTGATATTGAATACAGAATCTGAGTTTGAGCATGAATACGGGCGCAGGGCTTGAAAACAAAAGCAAGACGCACTTCCACGAAGGCAATTTACATTGGTTATTGGTACAGTAATAACACACGGTAAAACCCCACAGACCACAATTTTAATTAACAATGACGTCAGGATTTCTGCTTCCCTTTTCAGTGTTGGGAGAAAGTGACCTTATATATACTCAGACTCTCCTTGGGGTCGGGCGCAACGACTTCCGGGACAAGACGGTGCTCATCCTCGGGGGAGGGGACGGTGGACTTCTGTACGAACTACTCAAGATGGAACCACGGCACGTTCTGATGGTGGAAGTATCCTTCAAGGAATATGGCAATGTCATTTTAGTAAAATAGTATTTAACATCTTTTGATAATAAATGCTTGGTTTGTTTTGAACAACTCAATTTGCGAGCTTTCGAAAACGTCTTTTTCCTATGTCAAACTATGACAAAGAGTGTAAATGGTTGGTGTCTCGATCCTAGATCGCTGAAAGCAATTCACTAAGCCACAGAGTGCCGAATCCGTAAAGTCAACTGTCAGAAAATATCGAGACATTTCGCCAAAAAACACTGTAATACTACAGGCGGTCCAGGGGACGCGTACTATGTTCACCAATTCCGCCCCTTAGTGATAGCTAAAATGGGGTTATAAAGATGCCCCAGCTGATGGACCCCTTCGTCTCGGTTTATCGATTTCCCTTCCTTCCTAACGAAGATGGATTCTTTGCTTTCCTGATTTTCCAGTTGTTCTCCCTAGACTCCCTAAGCCTGACAAACTAAAAAGACGTTTTCGAAAGCTCGCATTTTTTTATTTTTTTTTTAAACAAACATTTATTATTCCAACCAAACTGGTGAATCTCATTCCGTGAATCCGACTCAACTCGACGTTTAACCCATGCAAAAAACCACATACATTTGAACACCACAATACCTAATTGTTCAAGCAATAAATCGCTCAAATACATAAAAATAAACAATTTTCAATTTACTAGTATCAAATATTCTAAACGATAAAATATTGAAGTACATGTAAATTAAACAATCAATAAATAAATCGACTTTGAACAGGCCGGGTTTAAAATCCGACAAAGTAAATAAAAACAACCGTTCAATTTTTTTTATTTTTTTTTAAATTTTGGATTCCTGTTTGTGTTCAAAACAAACTTTGCCTTTATTAGTCATACCAAACTCAAGAATTTTATTCCGAAAATCAATTGTATTCTAACAATAAATAAATCGATAACTCCTTAACAGTACTAAGATTGACGAGGAAGTCATTAAAGCATGTTCGACCTACATGGAGGTCGTTTGTCATGACGTCCTGGAGAAGTACGAGGGACCAAACCACAAGGTAACTAGGGACCAAACCACAAGTTAACTAGGGACCAAACCATAAGGTAACTAGGAAACAAACCACAAGGTTACTAGGGACCAAACCATAAGGTAACTAGGGACCAAACCACAAGGTAACTAGGGACCAAACCACAAGGTAACTAGGGACAAAACCACAAGGTAACTAGAGACAAAACCACAAGGTAACTAGGGACCAAACCACAAGGTAACTAGGGACAAAACCACAAGGTAACTAGGGAACAAACCACATGGTTACTAGGGACCAAACCACAAGGTAACTAGGGACAAAACCACGAGGTAACTAGGGACAAAACCACAAGGTAACTAGGGACAAAACCACGAGGTAACTAGGGACAAAACCACAAGGTAACTAGGGACCAAACCACAAGGTAACTAGGGACCAAACCACAAGTTAACTAGGGACCAAACCATAAGGTAACTAGGAACCAAACCATAAGGTAACTAGGGACCAAACCACAAGGTAACTAGGGACGAAACCACAAGGTAACTACGGACCAAACCACAGGTTAACTAGGGACCAAACCGCAAGGTAACTAGGGACCACACAACAAGGTAACTAGGAACCAAACCAAACCATAAGGTACCTAGGGACCAAACCACAGGTTAACTAGGGACCAAACCACAGGTTAACTAGGGACCAAACCAAAAGGTAACTAGGGACAAACCCACAAGGTAACTAGGGGCCAAACCACAAGGTAACAAGGAACCAAACCATAAGGCAACTAGGGACCAAACCACAAGGTAACTAGGGACCAAACCACAAGGTAACTAGGAACCAAACCATAAGGTAACTAGGGACAAAACCATAAGGTAACTAGGGACCAAACCACAAGGTAACTAGGGACTAAACCACAAGGTAACTAGGGACTAAACCACAAGGTAACTAGGGACCAAACCATAAGGTAACTAGGGACAAAACCACAAGGTAACTAGGAAACAAACCACAAGGTTACTAGGGACCAAACCATAAGGTAACTAGGGACCAAACCACAATGTTACTAGAGACCAAACCACAGGGTAACTAGGGACCAAACCACAAGGTAACTAGGGACCAAACCATAAGGTAACTATGGACCAAACCACAAGGTAACTAGAAACCCAATCACATTGTAACTGTGCAGGTATCAAAGAGACAAGGGCCACTTTCGTTTATTGCGACCCAAACGGTTGAACCAGTTGGACCTGATTTGTTCGTTTATGAAATAGGGTATAGGACATAGTAAATTGATATCGCTTTCATGCGAGCTTTAACAAGGCCTTGCAAGGCGTGCATAAACTTGTACAGGTCCGCCAGGATGTATACCCGAAATGTTACATTTAAAAACAGACAATAAATGAACAGGCCCAAGTTAAATGTGTTCAAGGTACATAAAGTTCTACGTGGTAAATCTTAGCAATCTCTACCCAGAGTTGTCGTTACTGTAAGTGGGTGTAAGAAGCGACAACTGTTGGACCAAACAACAAGGTAATCTTTCAGATACCCAACCCCGAAGGCCACACTTTAAAGACCTAATCCAAAGTTACCTCTATCGACCAATTCACTGACAATAATAAAGTATAAGGTACATAGGTAACTCTGTAGGGAACCAAACCGCAACATTACTCTGGAAGTGATGAAGCTATACAAGGTAAACCTTCATAGAACCAAACCCGAAGGTAGTACGTCATAAACCAAACCCGAAGGTAGTACGTCATAAACCAAACCCGAATGTCACTCTATGGCATCCTCGATACTCCAGGGGTTACATGTACGCTCACATTCGCTCTATGCATGCCTCGATTATGTCATAGAATATGGAGGTACGAAGATAGCTGTTTGTTTGGTCTCGGGTTAAAAAACCTGATCAATATTGGCTGGTATATGTCCTTTGAAGATTTAAGAGGAACGACATCCGACGTCAAAGCCAGTCAATTCTGCCGTTATGCGACCGCGAGATTATTTTGATGTACATCAAAAGATCACACTAGTCTTCTTGTCTCATCCACAAGGTGGCGCACACTGAGCCTTCAATTTTGTTTGTATTGACATATTCCAGGGGTGCAGAGAGCGTAAGTGATAGTAAACTCTGGAGTAACAAAACAACTGGTAACTAACTCTCTAGGAACGAATTATTCTGTGTTCAGTGTAAAGATAAACGTGATTTCAGTGATCAATCTAGAAACTTACATCTGTTTCTGATTTTAAAGAAGATGATGTTTTAGATATATTAGTTGAAATAAAATTCTGTCTTTTTCGCAGATTCACATAGGAGACTGTATGGACGTGCTGAAGGAGAGCATGGCGAGTGGACGGAAGTTTGATTACGTCATCAATGACCTCACAGAGTTTTTAGTCGGCACTGAAAACTGTAAGTTACCTTTCATACACGTAGATATGAGTTAAACGAACTGTCTTGTGTACATTACGTCAAGCAGTTCATATCCGTATACAATAAACAATCCGTATATTTTCGTTCTAAATATTCCGGCATCGCTCACTTATCTAAATGCGCTTCTGGTATATACCGTGTTATTTGTGTAGACGAAACAATTTTCCAGAAATCATATTCATTTGAACTATTGATTGTAAGCTATTACAGACCATGGACCGGTTTTTTTGTTACCAAAAGTGCGTTGCGTTTGCTTTTAAACGGACAAGAAAAACGATGCAGTGTCCGCATCTGTGTTATGTTAAACAGACTGACAAGCGTCTCAAAAACAAAACAAATGACGTCATAAGTAAAACGTGTGATATTTTTCACATTTTTTTGGCTGTTAACGCTATCTTCATAATATTCCGTCTTTTCGTATTGCAGAGTTATCTCCTCTTGTTAGCAGGTATTGATTGTTACGTCATTTGTTACTGAGAGTAACGTCATCAATTTTTGAGAAAACGACGTAATTTTCTCACACAAACCAATGACGTAACAATCAATACCTGCTCACAAGAGAAGATAACTCTGCAATACGCAAAGACGGAATAGTGGACATGAAATGAAAATGAGGCTGCATACATGTGCATTCTATTTTTTCTGTAATGGTCCGAGTGGTTGTACCACCTAATTCTGTGGAGTTTATAGTGTCGTTCAACGCTTGATCACTTGTAATTATCTGGACATGAAATGAAAATGAGGCTGCATACATGTGCATTCTGTTTTTCTGTAATGGTCCGAGTGGTTGTTCCGTCTTATTCTATGGAGTTTGTAGTTTGAACGAGACTATAGAGTTTGCTGTGCTACAGTATATACGAGTAATGATATATTCTAATTCCGTGTATGAACACTGACTTTTAGATTATATTGATTTGGTCTATATTTAGCTAGTTTGTTTTCATAGTACAACGAGTGTATTTTGATCCTACACAGGTTATAAGAATAATACTTTAACATGACTTCCGACTGATTCAAAAATATTTGCGATCTCTGCTTAGATATAATTGATTTAAAATGTATTTTATTTCGAAAATACAAATGGGATCAGACACAATTTAAACATTTAAAATTCGTCTTCTCCCCTAAGATAGGAATATTATAAGTTATGAATTTTACGCTGAATATTGATAGTGGGAGGTACGTCTTCAATGCTGAATCATTTGTTTAAAATTGACAATTATCAAATCAGTGCGCATTATCGTTGATTTAACACGTTAAATTTGTAATGAATCGTCATGACTGGTTTTAATGCCAGACCATTATAAAAAAATAAAACAACTATACATTTGCTTTGTTCCCCATTGTGGCCGTGAAACGGTAAAAGATAACAGTGAACTTAACTCGCCTTACTTTCAACATATAAATCGACTACGCTATGTTGACGGTCTCGTTCCTTATTTATCGACTACATTTGCGCTCCTTATTTATCGACTATATTTGCCAAACACTCCATTGTCCCACACATCTGGGTGATTTTTTTTTTGATAATTTTTTCCTGAAAAGAAATCCATACATTGCGTAACGTTCATGGTAAACAATAAAGATGAGATAAATGGAGTATAATAATCAACAGTGTGTTTTGTGTAAAAAAAAATGTAGGTGCTTGACCTCGATTATAACTCCGGATTTCAAACTGTTTTACTATATCTCAAACGTGTTGGGCTACCTGGTCTTAGCCCATATATCCAAACGGAAGTTAAAGGGAGGCTACTGTGTATACGAAAAACCACAGTGCAGCGGGTCAGGGATCTTTTACGTGTTACATTAAAAGTTTAGTTTAAACATATGTAGGTGCCAATTATTGCCAAAATTAGACAAGGGATTAGGCACAAGTTATAAAAACTTATCAACGCCTTCTCCCAATATACATTTGAAATGACATTACAATAATGACAATAAATATATACAATTGTTATTACAATTTGAACTGAAAATCTCTTGCTGGATTTAATAAAGTTTTGCACAGATCTAAAAATGTTTGAGTTTAAGGTCCACGGAAAATTGTGAATTGCCAAACAAAAGAATTTCTAAATTTAACGCAACATTCAAATTAATCAAATTTTGAACCAAAATACGTCTTTCGTTTGTAAAAAGTTGACATTCCTTAAAATAGTAAAAGACATTCTCACAAGGATGACCACAATTACAAGATGCACTCTCAACAAGGTTAACTCTAAAAAGGTCATAATTAAGGGAACTGCACTGGTGTCGGAGCTTAGTATGCAAGATATTAAGTTTCCGATTTCCGATTTTAAAGTAAATAGGTGGACTTGACTGAATATTTGATGTTAAACAGGATTTGAATGAATTAATACAGGGTAGGGATCGAACCGAATTGTCAAAGTTATTCGAATAGTGAAGAGTAGAAGGTAGAAAAGAAGAGTTAGTAAGAGATAATCTGAAAGGAGGAATCCTATAGTTATTATTGTTACGTAAAACGTAACGATTATTTTCTCCAGATAACAAGATGATTGAAGTAATCAGGAGTTAAAAGTGAAACATACTCGTCCAATTGTCTCACTTAAGATATAAAAAAATCGTCTCCTGCGTGAGCTATCTTCACCTTCTCGTCCCTAATTTATCGCCTATATGTGACAGACACTCCCATTGTTCATTATATATATGTGACTAACACACGTAAATATAACAGTAAAACATACTCGCCTAATTCCCTACCTTTAAATTATATTAAAAAGCGTCTGCTTCATGTTTTATGCTCACCATCTCGTCCTTGAGTTACCGACTTTATTTGTCAGACACTATTTCTATTCAATATATTTATTGACTAATTAAACCTGACACCTTCAACCTTCCATACCGTACACTGCCACCCAGGCTAGCATATCCGATAACGCGTACTTTGATGGATTTGACGACAGCTTGAGTTACACAGATCAAGGCATCGGATGAGGGGAATTTGAAGCAGCACTGTTGGCATCAAGGGAGAAATCATAACCAGCGCGATGTAAATAAACCAATACCGCCGCTCAATGGCTGTGGTGTAAAAGTAACTAGTCTCAAGACACACCATGTGTCAGTTAATATAACAAGTAAACACATCTCCCTAAGAAGTCGCTATTTAAACGGTTTTTATTTCTGTGTAGTGTGGCTATATCAATACTATTTAAGATAAGAAATACATTCTCCTCTTCATGTGAGTATTTTTTTCACAAACAAATCAATCCTAACAAGTATACAGTACATGTAAAGTCTGCGTAGCGCTTGGTAGCGTAATATATTCTTAGTGCTTTGTAGCATAAAGTCTGCGTAGCGCTTGATAGCGTAATATATTCTTATTGCTTGGTAGCATAAAGTCTGCGTAGCGCTTGGTCGCGTAATATATTCTTAGTGCTTGGTAGCATCAAGTCTGCGTAGCGCCTGATAGCGTAATATATTCTTAGTTCTTGGTAGCATAAAGTCTGCGTAGCGCTTGGTAGCCTAACGTCCCTTGGTAGCGTAATATTTTCTTAGTGCTTGGTAGCATAAAGTCTGCGTAGCGCCTGATAGCGTAATATATTCTTAGTTCTTGGTAGCATAAAGTCTGCGTAGCGCTTGGTAGAGTAATATATTCTTAGTGCTTGGTAGCATAAAGTCTACGTAGCGTTTGGTAGCGTAACGTCTTCGTTGAGCTTAAAAGCCTAGATTATGCGTAGTGCTTGGTAGCATAAAGTCTGCGTAGCGCTCGGTAGCGTAATATATTCTTAGTGCTTGGTAGCATAGAGTCTGCGTAGCGTTTGGTAGCGTAACGTCTTCGTTGAGCTTAAAAGCCTAGATTATGCGTAGTGCTTGGTAGCATAAAGTCTGCGTAGCGCTGGGTAGCGTAATATATTCTTAGTGCTTGGTAGCAGAAAGTCTGCGTAGCGTTTGGTAGCGTAACGTCTTCGTTGAGCTTAAAAGCCTAGATTATGCGTAGTGCTTGGTAGCATAAAGTCTGCGTAGCGCTTGGTAGCGTAACGTCTTCGTAGCGCTTTGGTAGCGTAATATATTTTTAGTGCTTGGTAGCATAAAGTCTGTCTAGCGCTTGGTAGCGTAATATATATTCTTAGTGCTTGGTAGCATAAAGGTTGCGTAGCGCTTGGTAGCGTAATCTATTCTTAGTGCTTGGTAGCATAAAGTCTGCGTAGCGCCTGATAGCGTAATATATTCTTAGTGCTTGGTAGCATAAAGGCTGCGTAGCGCTTGATAGCGTAATATATTCTTATTGCTTGGTAGCATAAAGTCTGCGTAGCGCTTGATAGCGTAATATATTCTTAGTGCTTGGTAGCATAAAGTCTGCGTAGCGCTTGGTAGCGTTATATATTCTTAGTGCTTGGTAGCATAAAGTCTGCGTAGCGTTTGGTAGCGTAACGTCTTCGTTGAGCTTAAAAGCCTAGAGTATGCGTAGTGCTTGGTAGCATAAAGTCTGCGTAGCGCTTGATAACGTAATATATTCTTAGTGCTTGGTAGCATAAAGGTTGCGTAGCGCTTGGTAGCGTAATATATTCTTAGAGCTTGGTAACATAAAGTCTGCGTAGCGCTTGGTAGCGTTATATATTCTTAGTGCTTGGTAGCATAAAGGCTGCGTAGCGCTTGATAGCGTAATATATTATTAGTGCTTGGTAGCATAAAGTCTGCGTAGCGTTTGGTAGCGTAACGTCTTCGTTGATCTTAAAAGCCTAGAGTATGCGTAGTGCTTGGTAGCATAAAGTCTGCGCAGCGCTTGATAGCGTAATATATTCTTAGTGCTTGGCAGCATAAAGGTTGCGTAGCGCTTGGTAGCGTAATATATTCTTAGAGCTTGGTAACATAAAGTCTGCGTAGCGCTTGGTAGCGTTATATATTCTTAGTGCTTGGTAGCATAAAGGTTGCGTAGCGCTTGGTAGCGTAATCTATTCTTAGTGCTTGGTAGCATAAAGTCTGTCTAGCGCTTGGTAGCGTAATATATATGCTTAGTGCTTGGTAGCATAAAGTCTGCGTAGCTCTTGGTAGCGTTATATATTCTTAGTGCTTGTAAGCATAAAGTCTGCGTAGCGTTTGGTAGCGTAACGTCTTCGTTGAGCTTAGAAGCCTAGAGTATGCGTAGTGCTTGGTAGCATAAAGTCTGCGCAGCGCTTGATAGCGTAATATATTCTTAGTGCTTGGTAGCATAAAGTGTGCGTAGCGCTTGGTAGCGTAACGTCTTCGTAGTGCTTGAAAGCATAGAGTATGCGTAGTGCTTGGTAGCATAAAGTCTGCGCAGCGCTTGATAGCGTAATATATTCTTAGTGCTTGGCAGCATAAAGGTTGCGTAGCGCTTGGTAGCGTAATATATTCTGAGTGCTTGGTAGCAGAAAGTATGCGTAGCGCTTGGTAGCGTAATATATTCTGAGTGCTCGGTAGCATAAAGTATGCGTAGCGCTTGGTAGCGTAATATATTCTTAGTGCTTCGTAGCATAAAGTCTGTCTAGCGCTTGGTAGAGTAATATATATTCTTAGTGCTTGGTAGCATAAAGTCTGCGTAGCGCTTGGTAGCGTAACGTCTTCGTAGAGCTTGAAAGCATAGAGTATGCGTAGTGCTTGGTAGCATAAAGTCTGCGTAGCGCTTGGTAGCGTAATATATTCTGAGTGCTTGGTAGCATAAAGTATGCGTAGCGCTTGGTAGCGTAATATATTCTTAGTGCTTGGTAACATAAAGTCTGCGTAGCGCTTGGTAGCGTAATATATTCTTAGTTCTTGGTAGCATAAAGTCTGCGTAGCGCTTGGTAGCCTAACGTCTTCGTAGAACTTGAAAGCCTAGAGTATGCTTAGCGCTTGGTAGCATAATATCTTCGTAGTGCTTGGTAGCATAAAGTCTGCGCAGTGCTTGGAAGCGTAGAGTATGCGTAGCGCTTGGTAGCTGATATCTTCATAGTGCTTGATAGCGTAACGTCTGCGTAGTGCTTGGTAGCGTGACGTCTGCGTAGTGCTTGGTAGCGTGACGTCTGCGTAAATCTTGGTTGAGTAAACTCTGCGTAGCGGTTGGAAGTCTTAAGTCTGCTTAGTGCTTGGTAGTGAACAGTCTGCAAAGCGCTCGCCAGCGTAAACTCTGCGTAGCCTTTGGTAGCGTAACGTCTGCCTAGCGATTGGTAGCGCAGAGTATGCGTAGAGCTTTGTAGCGCTTCCGTTCTACATTCGTATCGTGTGTATGGGTCTATATGACAGTTCTGAGACGCAAAAACCCAACATTTGCTTTTTATCTGTTATAATGAACTTTATGTAAGCATTATTTTTAACTGTATGTTGTCATATGTAAACATTTAAATACTGTAATCTACCAATGTAATGTATTAAAATCAATGTAGTTCGTAAACAACATACAAGACTTAACCTTATTAATAATTTAACTGATATCTCAATGATGATAATTATATCAATAATTAAAGAGACAAAGTCGTAACGAACTGGAAACCGTTAAACCGACATGCCCACGTTAAAGGAGCTGGTCGGAGAAAAAAATACAAAATAAATGGGTCTAAATGCGTTCCCTGGCCTTCCAAAGGTTATACCACGGCAATAGGATGGTCGAGTTCTGCTTGCAATGTCCAGTTTTGACCACTGAAATCTCGGGGAAGCCCCGCGTAAATTTAGCGCAGATCTATTTATATATATCACGTGGTTGTTTCGAAAGTGAGGCAGTCAAGATAACAACAATAGCACGCCGTCATGTGCCATGTCGGACTCAACTAGCGGACAAGACAGCAATACTATACGTAAATAATTGTTTTCAAAGGTCATGTATGATACAAGTGTAGTATTCCTACCTATATGTTGTTGTTATATATAACGGTATTGATACCTCGTGCCTGTCATGACTTTTGCATGCATCTTTTTCTTTCGCCGCGATGTTTACATTTGGCCTTGTTGATGACGCACGTGCGGTAAAATTACATCACTGATCAGGGTTAATTGAGAGTTTTAGACTGTCAGGTGACGATTTAGGATTTCTTTGATATAGTTATAATTTTTACTCTTAGGGAGTGAATTTCAGCAAAATTTGAATCGGTATATTTCATAAGAAGGTATTTTAAACATGTGTATGCCATTTTAGCAAATATGACATTTTCCCCCCGACCAGCCCCTTTAATAGTTGTAAAATGCTTATACAGAACTAACACACATTTTAAATATCAAGCAATACATTTGTTTTCCTATACGAAGCCATTGTATTAAAATACGAAACTAACAAGTTAATAGCTGACTACCGCAACCGATTGTGATACTTTGTCGGCGACAAAAAGAGAGGCACAATGTACTAAATCGGTACAGACCAAAGTGTATGCTAAACAGGCGAAGTTGTAACAAACGAGACCAAAATCTCTCTTCACAAACGTTGTTGACTCGTGATTCTAGTCCGATCTTTTTATATTTTTGTTTTGTTCATGATTTAGAATACCCTCAATAGCTAAATATAATAAATATAAAGATTGTTATATGTTGGTCGGGTGGCACATTGGATAACGCACTCGCTTTTCATCAAGGCGGCCGGGGTTCGATTCCCCGATCGGACGTGGAACGGTATTAATCACCTGTCCGATCACATAGGTCTTCTCCGGGTACTCCGGTTTCCTCCCACATTAAGACCCCCTACGCGCTTACGTCCCGGCCAACATGTGCAATTTATATAAGTTGCAATAAATTGATTCATAATTGTTATAAAAGAAATGAAATTTATGTTAATAAAGACGAGTTTCTTGTCAGACGCCATTGAAAAAAGAGAAGATAGAAAAGAAAAATAACAAAAGGGATCCAGATTGATGAAATGTGGGGCTGCAAACCAGCTATAGCTGTCTTACATATCTTCTGAGCAGACAACACGGGAGATAAATCGTTTCTGAAAGGGGTACAACTTTGGTTTGGTTTGGTTTAGTATTATTTAACGTCCTATCAACAGCTATGATTATTTAAGGACAGACTCCCCTCTGTGCAAGATGCATGCGTGTAGTGTATGCGTGTTTGTTTTGGAAGGCTGCGATATGTTCGTGTTTGTCTCCTTGTGATCGCGCGGAACTGATGCCGACTTTATAGTGCTACCTCACTGAAACATACTGCCGAAGTTACCCAGCAGGACACCCCACCCGGTCACATTATATTGACGTCGGGCGAACCAGTCGTCCCACTACTAACTTGCTTAGCGTTAAGCAGGAGTAGAAACTACCATTTGCTTTCAAAAACGTCAAACAAAGAGTGCAAATGACATATGTCTCTACTCTAAACCACCGAAAAGAACTCACTAAGCCTCAATGTGCCAAGCCAACTAATTCAGCTATCAAAAATGTTAATCTAATACGACAGGCAGTCAGAGGGACGGGTACTATGTTAACCCATTCCACGTGTACCGCTGATTGGTCTAGAATCGAGACACCAGTTATTTGTTCTCTTTGCTTGACAGAAAGGTCTAAAAAATAAGTTTTCAATGACTGTTTGTGTTTAAAACAATCTAAGCATTTATAATTTATATCAATCTGATGAACGTCATTCCGAATATCTGACTTTTGTTTTCCACAGCCTATATCTACGATCTAGAGACGTCCTCCCACAGTTTGGAATTCTCCATAAAGATTCTCAACAAGGGAGGGAAGTACCTGTCGCGGGTGAGTTATCTCCTTTCAACTTGATACGAGATGTATAAAATAAATGTATCGTCGGAGGGACTGTTTCTGTGCGGTAGCGGTACCTGTTTCTGTGATGTACCTATTTCTGTGCGGTACCCATTCATGTGCGGTGCGTCACATTGTTTCTGTGCGGTACCCGTTTCTGTGCGGTACCTGTTTCTGTTCTGTACCTGTTTCTGTGCGGTACATGTCTCTGTGCGGTACAAGTTTTTGTGCGGTATAAGTTTCCGTGCGGTACCTGTTTCTGTGCGGTACAAGTTTCTGTTCTGTACCTGTTTCTGTGCTGTGCCCTTTTCTGTGCGGTACCTGTTTCTGTGCGGTATCTGTTTCTGTTCGGTACCTGTTTCCTGTTTCTGTGCGGTACAAGTTTCTGTGCTATACCTGTTTCTGTGCGGTGCCTGTTTCTGTGCGGTATCTGTTTCGGTTCGGTTCCTGTTTCCTGTTTCTGTGCGGTCCAAGTTTCTGTGCGGTACCTGTTTCTGTTCGGTACCTGTTTCTGTGCTGTACCTGTTTATGTGCGGTACCTGTTTCTGTGCGATACAAGTTTCTGTGCGGTACCTATTTATGTGCGGAACCGGTTTCTGTGCGGTTCCTGTTTCTTTGCGGTACCTGTTTCTGTGCGGTATCTGTTTCTGTGCGGACCGTGATTCTGTGTGGTACCTGTGTCATTTTGGAACCTGTTTCTGTGTGGTACCTGTTTCTATTCGGTACCTTAAGTGCGGTACCTGTTTCTGTGCGGTTCCTATTTCTGTTCTGTACCTGTTTGTGTCCTGACCCTTTTTGTGTTGTACCTGTGTCTGTGCGATACCTGTTTCTGTGCGGTTCCTATTTCTGTTCTGTACCTGTTTCTGTCCTGACCCTTTTTGTGTTGTACCGGTGTCTGTGCGATACCTGTTTCTGTGCGGTTCCTATTTCTGTTCTGTACCTGTTTCTGTTCTGACCCTTTTTGTGTTGTACCTGTGTCTGTGCGATACCTGTTTCTGTGCGGTTCCTATTTCTGTTCTGTACCTGTTTCTGTGCTTTGCCCTTTTCTGTGCGGTACTTGTTTCTGTGCGGTACCTGTTTCTGTGCGGTTCCTGTTTCTGTGCGGTACCTGTTTCTGTGCGGTACCTTTTTCTGTGCGGTACATGTTTCAGTGCGGTATAAGTTTCTGTGCGGTTCCTGTTTCTGTACGGTACATATTTCTGTGCGGTACCTGTTTCTGTGCGGTACCAATTTCTGTGCGGTACCTATTTCTGTGCGGTACATATTTCTTTGCGGTACCTGTTTCTGTGCGGTACAAGTTTTTGTGCGGTATAAGTTTCTGTGCGGTACCGGTTTCTGTGCGGTACCTGTTTCTGTGCGGTACAATTTTCTGTTCTGTACCTGTTTCTGTGCTGTGCCCTTTTCTGTGAGGTACCTGTTTCTGTGCGGTATCTGTTTCTGTTCGGTATCTGTTTCAGTTCGGTACCTGTTTCCTGTTTCTGTGCGGTACAAGTTTCTGTGCGGTACCTGTTTCTGTGCGGTACAAGTTTCTGTGCGGTACCTATTTCTGTGCGGTACCGGTTTCTGTGCGGTTCCTGTTTCTGTGCGGTACTTGTTTCTGTGCGGTACCTGTTTCTGTGCGGTACCTGTTTAAGTGCGGTACCTGTTTCTGTGCGGTACCTGTTTCTGTGCGGTATCTGTTTCTGTTCGGTACCTGTTTCTGTGCGGTACAAGTTTCTATGCGGTACCTATTTCGGTGCGGTACAAGTTTCTGTGCTATACCTGTTTCTGTGCGGTACCTGTTTCTGTGCGGTACCTATTTCTGTTCTGTACCTGTTTCTGTCCTAACCCTTTTTGTGTTGTACCTGTGTCTGTGCGATACCTGTTTCTGTGCGGTACCTAGTTCTGTGCGATACCTGTTTCTGTGCGGTACCTATTTCTGTTCGGTACCTGTTTCTGTTCTGTACCTGTTTCTGTGCTGAACCCTTTTCTGTGCGGTACCTGTGTCTGTGCGGTACAAGTTTCTGTGCGGTACCTATTTCTGTGCGGTACCGGTTTCTGTGCGGTTCCTGTTTCTGTGCGGTACCTGTTTCTGTGCGGTACCTTTTTCTGTGCGGTACATGTTTCAGTGCGGTATAAGTTTCTGTGCGGTTCCTGTTTCTGTACGGCACATATTTCTGTGCGGTACCTGTTTCTGTGCGGTACCAATTTCTGTGCGGTACCGGTTTATGTGCGGTACATATTTCTTTGCGGTACCTGTTTCTGTGCGGTACCTGTTTCTGTTCTGTACCTGTTTCTGTGCGGTACCTGTTTCTGTGCGGTACCTATTTCGGTGCGGTACCTATTTCTGTGCGGTACAAGTTTCTGTGCTATACCTGTTTCTGTGCGGTACCTGTTTCTGTGCGGTACCTATTTCTGTGCGGTCCATATTTCTGTGCGGTCCATGTTTCTGTGCGGTACCTGTTTCTGTGCGGTCCATGTTTCTGTGCGGTACCGGTTTCTGTGCGGTACCTGTTTCTGTGCGGTACCTGTTTCTGTGCTATACCTGTTTCTGTGCGGTACCGGTTTCTGTGCTATACCTGTTTCTGTGCGGTACCTGTTTCTGTGCGGTACCTGTTTCTGTGCGGTAGTATTTCTGTGCGGTCCATGTTTGTGTGCGGTACCGGTTTCTCTGCGGTACCTGTTTCTGTGCGGTACCGGTTTATGTGCGGTACCTGTTTCTGTTCGGTTCATGTACCTATTTCTGTGCAGTACTTGTTTCTGTGTGGTTTATGTACCTATTTCTGTGCGGAACGTGTTTCTGTTCTGTACCTGTTTCTGTGCTGTACCCTTTTCTGTGCGGTACCTGTGTCTGTGCGGTACAAGTTTCTGTGCGGTACCTATTTCTGTGCGGTCCATGTTCCTGTGCGGTACCTATTTCTGTGCGGTTCCTGTTTCTGTGCGGTACCTTTTTCTGTGCGGTACCTGTTTCTGTGCGGTACCTGTTTCTATGCGGTACCTATTTCTGTGCGGTACCTGTTTGTGTGCGGTACAAGTTTGTGTGCTATACCTGTTTCTGTGAGGTACCTTTTTCTGTGCGGTCCATGTTTGTGTGCTATTCCTGTTTCTGTGCGGTCCGTGTTTCTGTGCGGTACCTGTTTCTGTGCGGTACCTGTTTCTGTGCGGTATCTGTTTCTGTGCGGAACGTGATTCTGTGTGGTACCTGTTTCATTGTGGTACCTGTTTCTGTGTGGTACCTGTTTCTATTCGGTACCTGTTTCTATTCGGTACCTGTTTCTGTGCTGTACCCTTTTCTGTGTGGAACCTGTTTCTGCGCGGTACATGTTTCTGTGCGGTACCTATTTCTGTTCGGTACCTGCTTCTGTGCGGTACCTGTTTCTGTGCTGTACCCTTTTCGGTGCGGTACCAATTTCCTTGCGGTACCTGTTTCTGTGCGGTACCTATTTCTGTGCGGTACCTATTTCTGTGCGGTACCTATTTCTGTGCGGTACCTGTTTCTGTGCACTGACATTTTGTGCATATAACATGTTTATATTGTCAAGGTTTTTCCGGGAAGCGAACATAAAACAAGTGCATCCCATCATCATGTATCTCACACTAACATAAACACAGCTAGCGTTTTTACAAATATTATTGAAATAAAAGGTATTTTGATACATTATTTATATATACCACAACTCGTCCTAGTCTGCTTGACGAAATCGTATGACTTTCACGTGGTCTGGTTCGTCTGGCTACAGCTGACAACTCGAAAGATGAAAGTGACCTTATATGGGTTTTTTTTCTTTTAAGAATATATCTATTTCATTCTTTATTTTCCGTACATGTAAATGGAAATAAATAGTATCCTATGTAAACCAATTTGTTGTCTCTTACAACTGTTATGAATATGTGTCAAATAACCTCCCTTTGTTCCAGGGAAACACTGTACGTGCCAAAAGTTACACTGAAAAGTTTGAGGCTGACATCCGGGCTTTACAGTTAAAATTTAATCGCCACGAAGTGGACGTGCCTTCTTTCCAGGAAAAGTATCCTTTAATCTCGATATCATATATCCTCGATACCCCAGGGGTACGCTCACGTTCGCCCCGTACGCTCCTGTAATATGTCATAGCAAATCCGAAGCCTCAGTGTGCACCACCTTGAGGATGAGACTAGATGACTAGTTTGTTTCTTTGGTGTATCTAAAATCTGTCGGTAGCGTAACGGTAAAATTGATTCGCTTTAAAGGCGGTAGTCGCTCCTCTGCAATCATCAAAGGACAGATATCAGCCTAGCGATTGTTTAGTTTTGTTTACCTTAGACAAATCAAATACCTAATCACGTGCCTTCATTTTTGCCATGACCTATTCCAGGGTTTGCTGAGAGCGAAAGTGAGCGTAACACCTGGAGTATCGAGGGTGGATCTCATTCGAAGTTTAAACATTTCATTGCCAAACATTGACAGAGGATTGGGATCGAACTTGTATCAAAAGATGTATAAGTAACCATTAAGTCGCATAAAGCATTAACAACCAAGCTTCTTTGTGAAAGTCTGACACACATCCGGTTTACATTTGTCCTTGACCTTTACCAGATACTGCCTTTACGAGGTGTGGAAACCATAGAAACATGCAGAAAGTTTTTTCTGAATTTGATATAAAGTTTTTTTGTTTCATTTTAAAATTTAAGCATGGTGACGTGTTTTTAATTGTTTTTTTTCTTCAATGTCTAAATATTTTACTAAAAGCTGTCGAGTATAATTAAATCATATACGCTAACCATCTGACAACAAGATAAGCAGCAGTAACAACAATAACAACATCAACAATAACAATAACAACAACAACGACAACAATAACAAGATCAACAGACATCATTTCGGAGTCGAGTCGACGGCTGAGATCAGTAAACATCGGAAGTTGAACTTTAGTGTCGTGGAGGAAGCGCCACCTATACATTGTTTTTACGTTTATGAGACAACAATAATGATGAGTGTAATGAAGTATGTTGTGATCTGAAAATTACCTGTTTCAGATAAAAAAAAAAATGTTTATGTTCAGCAGTAATCTTTTGAGTAAGCCAACACCAAAATTCCGCGAGAAGACGTCTAGATATGTGTTTTTGACAGTTAAAGTGTGCATTTGATTTTAATGGTTTTTGATCTATTCATGTTTTACATATCATGAACATAAAAATTGACTTAAAACGGTACATTTTGTAAGGCCTTTTATCTTGTTTAAAAATGTTCAAACTGTTCGAAAATGCGTTACTTAATAAATATTATTAACTAAAGTAATGGTAGCTATAATTGTAAAAAGTGAAAACGGGCATTCTTGTTCCGGAAAAAAACTCTTAAGTTGAAGAACTAATTTTTCAAATTAATGAACTGTTAATTGCCAATAAAACAATTATGATATTTATCCGGACACTCGAGGGACCAGTGTATGTGACAGAAAAAAATCATAAAACATTTTAATTTCAAAATAAATTTCATTACAACAGGAAGGTAGAGCAGATACAGGCATAATATTAAAGCTGTACGATTTTCAACTTATTTGTTTAAAAATAAGAAGAAAAAATACATCATGGGGTATAAAAAAACTGGTAATATTTAACCTGAACTAAATACGTAGCTGATAATTTCGAAACGAAGAAGGGTTAGTGAGGGGGGAGGGAGGGAGGGAGGGAAGGAAGTGACAGTTAGGAAATTCCCCGATCCTCCATTGATGCTCTGAGAGGCATGGGCAACTATTACTTGTATTCCCTCGCTTAAAATACTATTGTAATGTCTCTGTCAGTCGCATGTTCTAAAAAGTTCCCAACGCAATTTTATCAATTTATCATGTAAATACTTAATTATTTATTTAATGGGATTTAATGGGACATTTATGAGAAATAACAACGATAAACTATAACAACTATAATGTGTTTAATTATTCATACCGTAAAGTTTGGGTGCACCATACCAAAGAACAGAAGTTATCCTTTTGGATAGTAATGAACCGGATTAAGATTTATATAAAAGTTGTAAGCTTTTAAAGAACCAAATGACGAGGAAATAAAACTGTCCTAAAACAGTACCTTGAAGAGACTATATTTTTTTCCAAATTTTCGGTTTATTTAATGCATTGCAAAAACGCCAATGTTCACGCGCGGGGAAAATTTACACTTGTGTCATGAAATATATATGACAAGAAAAAAGGTAAATGCAACAATATCAAAGCTTGCAAAAATAACACTTGCGTGAAATTATCATGAAAGTGAAATCCTAAATGCCACTTGAAAATACCTACCTGAGAAAATGATTTTTTTTATGTCAAGAAAATTTAAAAAAAAATGTGATTTTCGTCTATGCACGATTTACTTTTTACTTTTAACCATAATTACAAATCATACATGAGTGCGTAAGTGTGTTTGTGTGTTTGGAATGTACATGGAGTGTTGTTTTGTACTTCATATTACATTTATTTTTCACTTTCACAACTACCTATACAATGTACAAATAAATCAGAGGTTACATTCTAGAATAACTGCCAGTGTTTTTTGTCTTTTGTACGAGTTGCCTCCCTTGGTACATATGTATATAGGATCCCACTAGTACCACTGCCAAAAACTCCAACTACTGGAAACTGTTTTTTTCGGCATGATTATAGCTTTGATAAATCATTTCTAAAAAAAAAAAATACCTTGCGGGACTTTTATAAGAAATAACAAGGATGAACTTAAACAATATAATCCACATTAGTGTTCTGAGTGTAAAAAGATCATCGGGACTACCCCGGGATTCGAACCCTGGACCTCAGATTGTTATACCATCGCTTTAACCGATTTAACTAGCTACTTGTAATAATAATAATAATAATAATAATAATTCGAGGTTTATATATACCGCTTTATCACAACCTAGTTTGTTGGTCGTTTCAAAGAGGTTCACAAATTATTATCCGTGGTTATCGGGCCTTTGCAACCAGCCAATATCTGTCTGAACTACCTGGGGAGCATACAGCCGGAGCTGCCATTTCTGCGCTTACAGCTAGCATTCAACATTTCTAGCAGTACCCAACCACGTGCTCATTTACAGCTGAGTAGACTGGAACAAGCGGAGTAAAGTATCTTGCTCAAAGATACAACACAGTGCCATGCCGTGTCTCGAACCCGCAACCCTTCGGTCACGAGCCCGGCGTCGTACCACTAGACTCCGTATACAATACCGTACCTGCTCAACAGAAGTATCCTACAATTATATCTAAACGGAAGTTAAAGAGAGGTTACTTTATGTAAGAAAAATGAACTGCAGTGGGACAGGGATCCTAAAGGTTGAAAGTGAGAACGCTCTGAATTGCATATCAAACAAGAAAGAGCTCAATTAGTCCGGCATCTTTCTGACTTTGGGTGCTTGCCCATTTACTATAGCAAATAGATGAGTAGGGGTATAATACCGCCGCCACATCCCCTTTTTAAGGGGATTAAAAGGGGATTATAATATTTGACCTAGGGCGATGACGTAATGTGACCTTTGACCTTAATCCCCTTTAAAAGGAGGATGTGACGGTGGTATTTAGGTCAGATGATGCAATGGGGAAATCCCTGGAATGTATAGCCTAAGGGGGTAACCTTGGAAAGACCACCCACATGCAGGAGGATCTGACGCCGGTAAAACGTCATTGGAATGTAATAGCCTAGCGGTAAATCCCCTTTTTGGAATGTAAAAGTTGCTAAATCGAGGTCATGGAGTCAGTCCCTCATCCCTCACTGTTAACTATAAATATAGAGGGAGGGATAAAGTGGCTTAGAACCCCCATTTCCTATTTGGATTGATGCCATCACGTTTATTTATAGATAGAAACAAGTTATGACAGGTTAACAAACAAGATTGGACACGTCCACCAACGTTGTGCACATATTAGTTTTTAAAATAAACAAGTCGCAACAGGTAATACCTTTTTTGCAAGATCGAACATGTCCACAGCGAGGGTAACATTGTGTATATATACCAAGCGTTAGTCACCACTAATGGCTCAAGAGATCATCAATCGGATAGTCACAGACGACCTCACACTGACAAACATATCGCACAGTAAAGTAGACTGTCGTCTAGGTATCACACAAGAAATCATCGTGAAAAAGGTCAAAGGTGAGCTGAGAATAACTTTAAAAGAAGACGGGAAATGCATACAAATAACAGGAGACTATTTTAAAAAGAAACTGTTTCTGTCAGAGAGTTTACAGTGTGTTTGCACCTTAATACACTAACATGTCAGATATTACAACAGATTGTATCCGTCATTATCAGATTCAACCGAAATATCACTCTATGATGAAATGTGAGGATCGATTACAAACGTTCCAAAACTGGCCCCAACAAATGCGTCAGACTCCAAACGAACTCGCCCGTAATGTTTTTTTTTTTTATTCAGGACATAGCGATAAAGTCACCTGTTTCATGTGTAGAGCACATTTGAGCGCCGGGATATCCTGCGATTCTGTCGAAATCGAGCATAAAAAGTGGTCGACCGATTGTGTGTATTTACAAATGGTCATACCCTTACACCTCTAAGGCTACACAGCATCGTACTAATTGATAATAGAAATATTTGAGGAGAGACTTAATTCCTACATGAGAAATCATATCGAGGAAAAAACTTATAAGAAAATTATAAAAAAACTTGTTATGCTTAGCCTACGCTATGAGTGTGAAAGACATCATATCGAAATTGTTTGTATGTGGAGGATGTGTGGATGGTCAAGCTAATCAGCAAGGACACGACTGCGTCATGCTTGATAGTGAAGACATAGTAGATAGATATTTCGAAGAAGCCCTGTCAACCGTCAACCATTTAGAAGTGGAGAAACAGTGGCGTCAATTTACTATTCAGTCCTGTATTCCTTCACACGTGTTACAACCGTTAATGGAAGAGGAGTGTTTCCGCTCTGAAAACTATGTGAAACAACATTTCAGTGGGAACATTCTCAAGTTTGTGAAGAAAATAGACATTGTCAGACTGAGACTCTTAGTTTGATATGTAAACTTAAATCAACCACTAACATGACGAATGAAAGAACTATGGCAAAGAAAAAAGATTGATGAAATCATTCAATCTATGTTAGAGAGTCGCTTTATAAAACCATAACGTTTATCATGTGTATTCATTTATGTGGAGACTTCTGAGACATCAACTTTTGTATGTAGTAAAATCTTAACCATCATTTTGTTTTTGTTTTTGTTATATAATTGTAAACGCGAACATCAATATGTATATTTAAATCATTATATTATGTGTTAACGAACATACTTTTTATCATAATTATTATATGTTAACAAAATGTTGTTCTCTTTCATATATTCTGAATGACATAGATGTTCACGTTTACAATATATTACGTTACAGAAAATGTTGACGCATCAAGAAAAACAGAGAGTGGATGACATTTATTATAATTTTAATAACGGTGGAACATTCTTAAGTCCAACAAAAGTTCATCAAATACTGAAATCACAAGGACATAACTCTCTAGGTTTACATAAAATCAGACGATACATTCAAAGTCTCGACGATTACAGTCTACAAAAACCTGTCAAACGTTCATTTAAACGCGCACGTGTAGAAGTAGGAGAACCTTTCGAACAATACGACACCAATTTATTAGACATGACGTCACTTGCCAAACATAACTCAGGTGTGAGATATCTGTTGATGGTAATCGATGTGTTCAGCCGCTTTCTCTGGGTAGAACCTATCAAAACAGAAACAGCAAAAGAGGTATAAGAAGCATTCAAGAAAATAATCAAGAGAGGTAGAATCCCAAAGAAAATTCATTCAGACGTGGGTAAAGAATATGCTAATCGCTGGTTTAAAAAATATTGTCTCGATAACGACATTCATCATTTCACCACACAAAACGAAATTCATGCCCCCATGGTAGAGCGTGTTAATAGCGCATTTAAAACCATGGTATTTCGCTACTTCACCAAATTTAGGACCTATAAGTACATCGACAAGTTACAGAAATTTGTTGATACGTATAATGCTACACCCCACCGCTCCCTCAATGGAACAACCCCAAAGGATGTAAATGACAATAATCAAGCAGATCTATTTGCTTACATGTACTTGAGGAAAAAGAAACTTAAAAATCAGAAAAAAAGATATTTAAAACGAAAAAACCCGATCCCTACAAATTCAAGATAGGAAGTTTGGTTCGTATATCACATACGAAACAGCTCTTTAAGCATGCCTATCAGCAGCAATGGTCATCAGAAATATTCAAGATAAACAAAAGATTTCTTATGCAAGGAATATCCCTATATCGATTGATAGTCTTTCTAGGAGATACCATACAGGGGAATTTTTATCAGTCAGAATTACAACGAGTCGAAAAAGATGAACAAACATTATGGTTTATCGAAAAAAAATACGCAAACGTAAGAGGGGAGGTCAAATCGAGTGGTTTGTCCAGTTTGAGGGGTGGCCCGCTTAATATAACCAATGGATCCCCGAGAAAGATATCAAAGACGTCACAGACAGCTAACATGTCACACTACGTAATCATCAACAGTAACAAGAATCTCGACTACTTTCCTAACAACAAACCATACCATTTCCGCTGTCAACTGAAATCACCCATTACTCTGAACGATATATGGAACGTAGCACTCGTTGACATCTGTATAACAACGAGTAATACAAAAACGAGAGAAAATCTATACATACATTGCGATCTCGTTGGAGAATCCGTAATTGATGGTGAGAAGCAGAATCTGCTTCGAATGGTGAAAGCTCAGAAAGTTGCAAACTGGAACCAATCACTTGACACTCCCCAGTACGTTCCTGTAAAAAAGTCAGAAATCAGAGATATAGAAATATCTATAAAAGACAGTGACGGAAACTTTGCTTCATTCTTAAAAAGTCCAGCAACGATTACACTTCAGTTTAAAGCCTACCCTTTTTACAGATGAATGTTTCCAACTTATACGTACCCAATGTGGGTGAGTGGCTACAGTATTATCGAAAGGTTACCGATGGTAAGATTAATCCTTATACAGATATACAAGATGTAAAACAAAGGGGTGGAGGTATATCGGACAACACAACCGAATTCATCATTCCCATTGACAAGTATAGTAGTGACGGAGAGAAAGCCTTACCCGCACATAATATCGACATCAACATGATATCACCGTCACAACAAATAGTAGATCAAGCCAAATCAGAGTTAAAAAGAAAGGGAAAATTGATACCGTCTCATTATAGCAGGAAACGTCGAAGGGTACAGACCGTTCAGAGAAAACCAACAAGTAACTCGGGGAAAAAGACAAAACAGGTTAAGAAACGTAAGCCTGTACAAAAACTTAAGCTTACACAAAAACGTAAACCTATACAAAAACGTAAGCCTACACAGAAGCGTAAGAAGTCTATTAAGAACGATTTATTATCATCATGGCTACAATAAACAAGGACTTTTTCAGAGAAGCTCAACCTTCACAACTGGAAGTTTTTGAATTACCACCAACACAGACAGCCGTCGAAAATGTATACTATCAAGACGTACTACCGATATCACAAATGACTGGTGATTCACCCGTAGAATTTATCGTTTCCGGTCAAAATGGTATGGAATACATCGACATGAAAAATTCCCTAGTGTATGCTAAAATAAAGATAAAAAAGGCGGATGGATCAAATATCAGCTCTACTGAAGACATAGGCCCCGTCAATTTTTTACTACCTGCTCTGTTTTCACAAGTAGATGTCACACTTCAAGGAAGAACCGTGATATCTACAACTGCTAACTATGCATACAAGGCATACATTCAGACATTATTGAAGGATGGAAACGGTGCTAAAACATCACAGTTAACGACACAGTTATGGCATAAAGATACTGATGGAGAAATGGATGATACAGATGTGAGGACGGGTAATAATTTAGCTTTACTAGAAAGAGCCGAATTATTCGAAGGTGGCAAAGTTGTCGATTTGGAAGGTCCCATATTTCACGATCTATTCAGAATGGATAGATATTTACTCAATCAAGTCAACGTAAATGTGAAGATGTACAGATCAAAACCAGAATTTTGCCTACTTTCCGGTGAACAAACTCCCAACTATAAAATTGAGTTTGAAGATGTTAGACTACGCATCGCTAAAGTTAAAGTGAACCCTGCCGTCATCTATGCCCAAAGCCAAACCCTGACAACAACTACTGCAAAATATCCATTTACAGAAAGTATTCTAAAACACGTCACTCTTGCTGCTGGTGGGACAAGTTTTACGTACGACAACATATTTCAAGGAATGAGACCCAATTTTATCACCGTAGGCTTTGTGAATGCAACCGCCATCACGGGGGCATACAATCAAAACCCGTGGTTCTTCCAACCATTCAATGTTACATCCATAGGCCTCTATGTGGATGGAATACCTGTTGGCGGTAGCACCATAAAATTGGATTATGATACCAGCAGCGGACAGACTACTATACCCTTCTTACGGAACATGTTCAAAACAACTGGAAGATGGTTATCCGATTGTGGATTAGATATTGACAGGGAAAACATTTCCAGCGGTTATTCGTTATGCACATTTAATTTGGAGCCCATTTTTCAAGGGAATCAGTATCTTACCTTATTAAAACAAGGAAACGTCAGACTGGAGGTCACATTCGGAAGTACACTATCCAAAGCCATCAGCTGCATCGTCTACGCCGAGTATCCAGGACATTTCGAAATCAACGCTGCAAGAGACATTTTAAAACCATGAATACCAATCAACTTCGTTGCGCCATCGATTGTGATCCCGTCATGAAAGAACTAAACATAGGTGTATATGCGAGGGATCACATATCGAAAAACATAGAACAATTTCCCACCGGATTTATTGTAAATACTGACAAAAGTCATCAACCCGGTCGACATTGGGTGGCTTATTTTATGGAATCGGCAACAAAAAAGGATTTTTTTGATAGCTATGGTCATCCACCACAATACTTTTCACTCCCAAACTGTACATCTTTTAATGTAACACGATTACAGAGTGTCAGATCTAACGTGTGTGGACGTTACTGTTTGTTTTATTTACTCAATCGATGTATAAATGTACCACTTAGCACTATTGTTAATGTATTTAGTGATGATTATAAATATAATGATGAATTTGTATATGATTATATCAATCAGTCTTTTTCATGTTGTTTTCAAACTGGTGGCAGGTATCAATCATGTTGTCAAGAATATCAATAAAATATACATACATCACTCACCCATGCTTAGTTTTAATCATGTCACAGACAAGTCTAGTCCCCATCGTCTGTCCCGCCACGATACAGTTAGCAGGCAGCTCTGGAAGCGGTAAAACATTTCTGATGAAACAAATGTTAGAGCAGGCCGATGGTTTGTTTAGTCAACCTACAGCCAAGATCATGATCTGTTACGATACTTGGCAACCCATGTTTGACGAACTAAAACGAAATATCAAAGAAATCACGTTTGTGAAGGGAATCTTAGACGAAACACAATTTGAGGAGTGGACTTCCGTTACAGAAAAACATAAGATAATAGTACTAGACGACTGTTTAATAGAAGGATCCAATTCCGTGCAGCTCATGAAAATGTTTTGCATAGGGTCACATCACCGAAATGTGACTGTCATATTTTTAGTACACAACGTATTCCAGAAGGAGAAGGTCATGCGCACTTTAAGTTTAAACACTCATTACTTTATCCTATTTAGAAACTATAGAGACCAAGCACAAATCGAAACATTAGGGAGACAGATGTTTCCTAGAAGGTTAGAATATTTCAGACAAAGTTACCTTTCCGCCGTTTCAAAAAGATATGGATATCTTTTTGTCGATGTCAGCCCTCACATCCCGCAGTTGAATATCGTCGACGGCCCGACAGAACTTCCCCCACTTCGTACTAGGATATTGCCAGGACAGGATCCAATCATCTACGAACCGAAAAAATGAAACATTTTCTCGACTTTTTGCTATCTGCACCTCGACATCAACAGGTTGTCATCATAAACACACTAACAAGAGAACAATTGAAACTAATGATAGAAATAATCTATAATACGGTCATGGATAACGTTCCCATGTCAGACGAGGATAAAAAGATTGTATCTAAACAGAAACTTGCCATTCGTGAAGTGTTCGTCAGAAATATAACACCTAAGGAGAGGAGAAGAAGATTACAAGCTGTCATTAAAACTTTACCGATATTCATCAATAACTATCAACGATGGCAAGAGAACTCGCCCTCATGACGAAAACTAAATATGATAGATTAATCGCTGAAACAGACAAACCCAATGAAATAGATACTATAAACAAACTTGATGAAATAGACATTGAGAAACCTGATAAAACCGGTGAACAAAACAAAAATGGCATGAACCAGCCTGATGAGACTAAAAATGAAGACAAACAAACAAAGCAGAAAGGAAGACGATTAGCAGTAGAAGAGACACCGGAACGTTTTATGAATAGTTTACATAAATCAGTCAAGCGTAAGTGGTTATCTTTTAAGATCTAGTTTCCCCTCTATTTTTGTATCGCGATGTATAATCACATATCCAAGATCCCCCTAGACATTCCATACATACCCTCTACACTACCACTGTGTATATAAATACAACTCACAACGATATCAGCTTATAGTGAAATCGACCACCATGGACGAACTACCTTCTATCGAACAGCTGCTGCGAGACTACTCAGATGGTGCCGTAGCGGAACAACTGCGAGAATTAAAAAAA